ATCTTTTACATTTTTCCAGACTCCGTTTAGGTTTTGGAAATGGAATAAACTGTATTACATCCTCTAAACACTCAGGGGTCACGTGTATGAATGACATGTTCCCCACTGACAACGTTTAACCATTTTTTTCTGATGATTTGTCACGAAATCCATCTGACCGCAAAGCGTTCGTAATGCAAAACCCCGACAACGTTGTTGGAAGAAAAGGGGGTGCAGCTCCTGGGGCGTTCACTTCAAGACAAATTGAGATCGCCGATTGGTCAGTTACTGACGAGCCTACTGGATTGATTGACAGGCGGCGTCAAGGATCAAATTAGTGCAAAAAAAATCATGGATTTTACTGGTCCATTAAAAAGTGTCATTTATTCCATATTTATTCAATATTTTGGTGAATCCAATGTTTTTTTTTCGTTCAACCTTTATTTAATTATTAAGGTTCGAGAATAGAATTTCCTTACAAAATCCTAATTATGGTTTCTTTACTTTTCAGAGGTGCCGAGTTAAAATTTAGGGGCCACTTCAACACAGTTTGGCTCAAAATCTACAACACCGACAGAATTGTAGCCATCTTTGTTTTAGCTTAAGTCAGTTATCTGTGGCTGACATCTTAAACTGAGCCCAGATCTTCTTGAGTAGAGGTTCAACATTCACTGATCACTTTCTGAGAGTTTCACTAACTTCTATCCAATGTTTCAAGAGATATTTTGCTAATACTACACACAAACGAACAGCGGCAGGTGGTAAATATTCTGAAACCTCAGCCTGGAAGATTGTGCTGGCCCGATTTACAGTCCTGAGGAACGCCTGTTATGTGGAGTTGGCCTGGATTTTCAGCTTTAAGAACAAAGTAGCTGAAGTGTGACCTGGATACTGGGTCTGCTGTGGAAAAAGCTCCTCGGGCAAATGTGGAAGGATCAGACCAAAGAATGACACTTAAACACATCATTTAAATTGTTCAGATTTGCGTCAGTGAACAAGTGGTGATAGCGTTTATTTTTTCTGCAGCGTTAACAAAATATCTCTCATCCCGGTGGATAAAATTGAATGAAACCATCAGAAAGTAATTAATGGATAAACATCTGCAACTGGTTAACTTTTGGAGTCAACCCAATTTAATCAGTTAACACAAAATGGTAATAACTCCATGAATTTTACAGATCGAGCACCTTTGGCAACCAACAGTCCGAGGACTAACACGGATCTCCCAAATTTCTCAAGATTGTGCATAACCTGTTTAGAAGGTTTGACTAAAACAGCTATAACTTGGTCCTTTCTAAACATAAGAGGATCTCAGTTTAAAACTCGCCTGAAAGGTGGCAGGCGATGTGCATTCTTTCAAGGATTGCAAGGCCGTAAACTGTTGCAGCACCGAGGAGACACTCCAGCACATCACACAAGAACAGAAACATGTTTATTCATTAGAAGATAAAAATACTTTTCCCTTTGTCGTGAAGGAAAACCCCTCATTTCTTTATGCGTGTTGCTGTCGGGTCAGACACATTCAGCTTCTGTGAGACGAGGAGTGAAGGTGAGGGAGACGGAGCCGTGTGTGCTTGTACGTGTGCATGTGCGTGTGCAGAAGTAGGATGGAGATGCTGTCACATCTCCACCCCCATTTACACACATACACACTCTGTACTGCTAAAAATAGAACAGGAGACAGCTGGAATGGCGAGTAAGAAACGCACACGGTGCATTGAAATGCACATTGATTTCCGCCGCACGTTTTAGTTCTTCCTCCTAATTTCATCCATGACTCCTCCCTCTTAGCCTCCCTCCCCATTTATTGAATCTACTCCTGGCCATTTCCTTTACAATGCCTCCTCCTGCGTTTTTAAAATTTTTTTTTTTTAGCCTTATTACCAATTTGCATTAAATATCTGATGCAGTTGCTCTTCTGCAAAAGACTCCAGGAGAGGGGAAAACCACTCCGATTGTGGGAAACGATGCCTTGGCGTTCCCCTCTTCATCTTTCTGCATAACATTTTCATTTATTGCTTTCCTTTTCTAAAAATGAGAGAAACCTGCCTTTGTTGCCCCCTTTCCTTTGGATACCCTTCAGAGCAGTCCTTGTGGACAGCACACCCATTCACAGCTATAAATAACTCACTCCCTTCCTCTTCACCTCCGACCAGCACCTCCCCCTCCTCCTCCCCCCATCCTCATGCATCCTATGCTCATCTCGGAGCACAGCCATTTGCTCCTGGACCTGCTGTTGGGGGCTCTCTCCTCCTTCCTTCTCCATGCTGTCTCTGTGGTTCGCCTCGCCGGCCCCAGTTTATAACCTGCCAGGATCTACGCTCCGCCATTGTTCTCGTCATATTATGCACTACACCAGGGCAAATCAACTGGCGGCCCGCGGGCCGTAACTCAAGTCTGGCTCGCCGATGAGCTCATTAATAAAAAGAAAAGAAAAACAATCAGAAAAAAAAAAATCCATGTGAGCGCTTTTAACAATTTGAAAAGCCAAATATAACAGCAAGGAAACCCCGTTCTGTCCATATTATAGTTCAACCTTATCACGAGCGTACAGACTCTTTAAGCAGAACCCCCCTCCCTGAAAGCTTGGACACGACACAATGCCAGACCAGGCCTCACCCTGAAACCTCACCCTGAAACTTCATTCTTCAGCGAGTATAATGCCATGAGTATAACGTTGCACAGATAATTTACACAAGGCTACCCAGCATGCTTTGCAGCTCACACAGTCTCTCTGGGACTCAGAGAGAGAACGTGGCGAGTTTGGGGTAAAATAAAATAAAGTTAAATAGAGGCGCACATCTTTGCTTTGATCGGTGGCCTACAAATACCTGCGTTTTTGTATTTATAATGTTTAATTATAAGAATTAAATTATTGTAGCAGCAACACGAGTCAAAAGGCTGCACGCTCTTTCTCTCTCCTGTTGTATGAGGAGTTCTGATAAACTGATCATATCAGCGTGTGATCACCCACAGATCAAACAACAACAAAGATGGAGGAATCTTGATGAGGACGCACAGCAGCTTTGTAGTTATTCTAAATAAAATAGTTAACCACAAATAGGATGGATTAAATGAGTTAATTCATTTTGGTTAACGACACGAAGGAGTCGTTCGACACACATGGTGCTCACCTTCAGCCCAGCTGAGTTCTGCTCCTCCTCTTTTGGTTCTGCTCAAAGCTCACTCCTGAGCGGGACGTGGACGCTTCACCTGTGATTTACGTTTGAGGAAGTTCTGGTCTGTGCAGAACTGGTTCTTAATGGACCCACCTGGAACAGAAACATGTCTGTCATCCAGGGAACATCTATCCGTTATCTTTGTTCAATCGGGCGACCTTCTCGCTGAGAGGCACCAGCTCTACAAACTGCAGCACCTGCGCCTCAGAGAACATCAAAACCATTTTTTTAAATTTTGAAAAACATAAAGATTTGTCATGTCAGAGATGTCAGAATAATATCTGTGTTCAGTAGGAGGCACAGTGTGTCATTTTGTTTTTAATATCGTTTCACAGAATATCACGACTGTTATTGTAAGGAAATAAACCTTGAAATGTAATTTTCTTTGAATGACACTGTTGGGTTCTGTTTATTGCATTTATAATTCAATGCAGCAAAATAACAAAATTATAAACAGATCATTGTAACACTTGGTTTATTTACATAATGACTTTAACTTTATTTATATAATTACTTTAATTCCTGGATGTTTGGCCCCTGAGCTGCTGGCTTACAGTAACTGTGGCCCCCTGATCAGTTCAGTTGAATAGCTCTGCACTACACACTCATAAAAACCTGCTGGGTTTTCCATCTGTAGTTATTTTGCTCTATTCTGATGGTAGAGAATTAAGCTGCAATCAGGACATTCCTACAAAACCACTGACTTTTTGTTTCAGTTAGAATGGGTCAGAACTCAGACAGGACAAGGCATAAATAAGTTCTGTACTTGTAACTCTGTGGGTCTGACTATTCTCCAAAGATACATAATAAATGTGATTAAGCCACCCCTGTACGGTTTGTGAGTCAACCACAACCTCTCTGACGGTTTATTTGTTTAAATCAGCAACAGCTGGCATTAGGCCTGTCACGATAACAAATTTTGCTGGGCAATTAATTGTCTCAGAAATTATTGCAATAAACGATAATATTGTTTGAAATTTGACAATAATTAGCAATTATTGTAAAATTTAAGAAGAAATGTTGGTTAATTTGTTTTGATTGTAGTACCTTTTTTGGACCACCGGATGGCAGTATAAGACTGAACCGAAGGATGGATAGTGAGGGAGCAAGCAGTGTGTCTCTTTAAGAAAAATGAGAGAGAGGCCCCTTGATGTGACATGGGCTGTCTCTTTCCTTTTTTTCAGTTCTCAAAACGACGACGGACGCTCGGTGTGGTTTGAGCTCTTTAGCATAGTATTTTTCACACAGAGCTTTTAATAAAAAAAAAAAAATCAGTAAACAAGTTCTCAGTTTCTTTTTGCTGAGAAAAACAACTGTTTACATGAAGGCACGGGATTCAACTATGAATTTTAGAGCTCGACAAGACGGATGTTTATTCCCAAGGTCAGCCTGTTGGCTTAGCTCGCAGCTTAGCTTCTCAGCTTAGCGGATTTTAACGATCCAAAAACACAATTTTGGACGGTTTAAACAGATTTTAAAGAGAAAATAGAAAGGGAGGGGTCTTCAGTAGAAAGAGAGACACGAAGAAACAATAAAGCCGATAAATGAAAATGAGGTTTATAATTTTTAATTTATCATGCGATTACCGGTAATTGATTTATTGTTTATCGCAACAGACCTACCTTACACCTCTAAAAGTGACATTTCAAATCTCTTAAAGTGGGGTTCTAGAGAAAGGTTTATGAACAAAAACATCTTACTTGTCGCACATAGCTCTTTGAATGCCCTCAGTTTGGAGAAATAGTTTAACTTGGACCTGATTCCCTTAGTTTAAAGTATTTAAAAAACAGGGAGAAATTGAAAGAAACATATCAAACCATCTCCCTTGTCTTCCTCCCGCAGATACTCCATCCTGGTCATGGTTGCCCCAGTTCTGCAACCTTCGAGAACTCCGTCGTCGAGCCCAGCTCAGGCAGCTCGAAGACTCCAGCGGAAACATGGTCCACATCAAGCAGAAGCTCTACCACAACGGCCACCCCAGTCCCCGACACCTCTGACTCTAAAATCAAGAAAGAAAAAGTAGTCCTCCTCCTTTCCTTGAAACTCCTTCAACACACCACAGCCCCTTCGTGCCAAACTTCCCCGTGGCCAAATGTTGCCTCAGAGACCTGGAAAACTGCCCTCCCTTTGTTTATAATGTGCCCCCCCTTTCACCCCATTGGACAGGGGTGAACCCTGTCTCTGTCTGCACTTAAAAAAAGTCTTAAATGGAACAAGATTATGTGTTGCCACTGAAATCTTGAGTCTATGTCCACCATTGTGGGAAGAAGAGGAAAAGCATTTTTAAAGGTGTGTTTTTCTGTATAGAGACATTTTCGGTGTTTATTGTTCAACTTGGCATGCTCTCTTAGAACAGGGTACGATTTGGGCAGCGTATGGAGCGGGTGGGAGGCGATACAGGTGTTTTTATTTTTCTCTATTGGGTGGGCATGGGGGGGGGGTTCTTGTAGGGTTGGGGTGAATGCGGCTGCCGGGTGGGTGAGTTTTCACAACGATTAGACTGCTGCTTCTGTAAATAGTATAAATACAGATAAGTTGGGATTCAAGAAAATGGGGGGGATGAGTGGGATGGAGAATTAGATGTGTGGAAAAAAAAAACCTAGACTGTTTGAGTAAAAACGAGAGGGAAGGAACAGAAAGTTGAGTGTTTGCAAACTGGATGTGAAATGTGATTTCTGCTAAAAAACAAAACAAAAAAACAAACAGATTATTAGCTTTGTTACTTAGTGAATTAACTGAATGTATTAATTTTTCCTGTAAATATGTGAGGGGGGGCGGGAGGAGGGCGTGTGAAGTGGTGGTCCAGGTTCTCTTTGCTAAATCACCGTTTTTGTTTTGTGCACGAGGAAGCGCGAATACCAACCAAAATGAGTCTGTTAGCTCCGTGTTTCCTCAAGTTAAGCTTCCTTTAATCCAATTCTAACTACGGTAAGCCCTTTGAGTATTTATTCCATGTTCTCGATATCAATCCTCCATTTCACCCACTGGTTCATGATGAAACTACACTAGTTACATATTTGCTGACTCTTACAACAAACACTCTTACTAGTAACACCTCTGATCAATTCATTGGAGCAAAAGTCATACTAGTTGGCCATTTTGCTCACTAGTAGCCCAAAAGTTTCAACTAGTGAGCTTTTTGTGGCATTAGTATTCCATTGGACCAAACTAAGCAACGACTGTCTCATACAAGTTAACTGCATCTTAACTAGTCAACAAAAATTATGTCTACAAATGAACTAGTGACTGGCAAATGGGCGTGCTAGTTAACTATTGAAATCAAATGAGCTTTACTAGTGAAATAGTAAGGCAAAATTTAGTTTCACTAGTGGACTAGTGTGATTACATTTGGTCTTAATAGAGAACAAGTCAACTTTTTAGGTGCAGTAATCGACTAGCTGACATTTTAGGCACACAAGTTCACTAGTTAAGCCAGAAAAGTATTAAATGGTTAACTAATGAGAGTTTTGGGTGACTTGTTAACTAATGAGGCTAAATTTAGTCACAATATTCTACTAGATATCCATTCATTCAATCAACCTTTATTTATACAGGCTACTCTCATTGAGCCACGGGGCCTCGTTTACAAGAGAGACATACAGAACATATAAAGTACAGACAACAATAAACAATAAACTATAGTAAAACATGTTTTAATTAATTTTTCAATTCAGTTTATTTATATAGCGCCAAATCACAACAAAGTTGTCTCAGGGCACTTTACAGGAACATTCACATACATAAAAAGCCAGTTAGTAAAGTTCTCTATCTAAGGAATCCAGCAGACAAATTGAATCTTCACTTTGTTGCAGTTTCCCATCCTGAGCAAGCACAGTGGCAACAGTGGAAAGGAAAACTCCCTTTTAAAAAGGAAGAAACCTCCAGCAGAACCAGGCTCAGGACAAGTGGTCATCTGCTTTGACCAGCTGGGTTTGAGAGGAACAGGAAGGAGAGACAAACGAACACAGAATGGTAGGTCCAGATACAGGTGCAGGTGTACCTGAAAGACAAAAACACATGTTAAGGATAGAAAAAATAATTACAAATGCAAAACAGGTCGAGCAGAGCAACTAAAGACAGTAGTATAGTGAAAAGATGTGGTCAGTTTGTCCTCCAGCAGTCTAAGCCTATAGCAGCATATCTAAGACACAGCTCAGGAAACCCAAGCCGACCCTAACTATAGGATTTATCAAAAAGGAAAGTCTTAAGCCTAGTTTTAAAACTGGACAATGTGTCAGCCTCACGGACAGAAACTGGAAGTTGGTTCCACAAGAGAGGAGCCTGATAACTGAAGGCTCTGCCTCCCATTCTGTTTTTGGAAACTCTAGGAACTTCAAATAAGCCTGCAGTCTGAGAGCAAAATGCTCCGTTAGGAAAATATGGAACAATTAGATCTCAAATATAAGATGGAGCTAGGTTGTTGAGAGCTTTGTAGGTTAGAAGTAAGATTCTTAACTAGAAGATTAACATTAACTAGTCAACATTTTAGGTGCGCTAGTCGACTGTCATTTTTTAGACCCACTACATAACTAGTGAGGTCAAAATCTTGTCAACTAGTCAACTCGTAAGCATTTTAGAATTTACTAGTATACTAACATTTGTGTGTTAGTCAACTAGTGTGCACATTTGACAGTCACTAGCTGACCAGTAATAATTTTTGTTGACTAGTTAAAATTAAAAAGTGTTTTTGCTGTTTACTAGTTAGTTTGTACAACAAAGTCAACAGCTAGGTTAGTCCAGTGGTCTACTAGTTCCCTAAAATGCCCCTAGTTTGCAAAATGAGTGACTAACTGGATTTATGCTGCAACTAGTTGTGCAAAAGTACCACTACTTGGCAAAAAACTAGTACAAGTAAAAGTGTTTGTTGAACCAGTGCGACCAAATGTGCACTTAGTGCAGTGTGGTAAACTAGTGGGTGAAAATGACTCTTTATGTCAAGGATAAGAAATAAATGCACAAACGACTTGTCATACTCTTTCACTTATCAGGAGTAACCAGCCTATGAGCAGAGGGAACCCTCACCCAGCACCCCCGCCCGCCCTCACCCTCTCTCTGTCAGACATTGCTGTTGTGAGGATGAAATGTCTGTTTTATTAAAAGTGCCACTGAAGCACAACAGTGACCTCTGATGTTTGATTGTGTCGTTCCCGAGCAGCGATGAGAGCACATCCTCCTCACACTGAGAGCTTCTTTCAGATTGCTGATTGTGCAGTGAGGTCCTGCAGGCGCTGCCTTTTTGCTTAATAAAATTCACAGAAAAACAGAGAGCTGCTGACCAGCGACACTTCTGAGGTGACTAAACCATGGCAGTGACTGGTGGAGCTGAGAAAAGCCCTTTGTTCCAGAGAGGGCATTTTAAAACATTGGTTTTTACTTTTCCTGGACATTCTTCAGGTAAATTCACGTTAAGTCAGTCATAATGGGGTGTAAAATTGTATTTAAGTGTGAATGGAAGGTGGAGCAGAAGGTGCATGGATTTCCAAAAAGGAAGAAAAAAAAAGAAGTTAAATCAATTCTAAGCCAGATTTTTTTTTTAAACTGTTGCATTTTTGTTTGGTAAATTAAAATTTGAAAGAATAACCATAGGTCAGCACGGTGGCGTAGATGGCAGAGCTGCCGCCTCTCAGCGAACAGGTCACCGGTTCAAATTCCGATCCCGGGGCCTTTCTGGGTGGAGTTTGCATGTTCTCTTTGTGCATGAGTGGGTTTTCTTTTTTTTTTTTTATTCATATGTTTATTGATATTTTGCATAAGGAACAAAGGTGTTCACATATTCCAGGGTGTAAAAGTGTTGAGTATAAACAACCTGATCACACTATTGACTTTAAGATACATGTCTTCAGGAACACTGAACATATACAGAACACCTCCTTTAGTAAAACATAGTAAAAGAAAGAAAATTAATAGTGAAAAAATACAAACACATGTACACCTCAGAAAAAAAACAACAAAAAAAAACAAAACAAAACAAAAAAAAAAAAAAAAAAAAAAACGGGATAGAAGGAAAGCTGGGTGCGCAGGGGGGGTTTATATTGCTACATTGAAGCAACAAACTCAATAAATGGTTGCCATTTAGAGCAAAATTTGTTTGAGTTTCCAGTTTTTGTATATCTAATTTTCTCCACTTTCAAAAAGGACATGACCTCATTTATCCACATTGTGCTGGATGGAGCTATAGTTGATTTCCAGTTACAGAGAAGGTGGCGCCTAGCAATCACAGAGGTGAAACCTATCACTTCCAACTCTCCTGCGGAGTATTGGGTATATTGCTCCGGGAGACCAAAGATACCAATGTGAGCTGAAATGTCAATCGTTCTCGAAAGTACAACAGACATGGTGTGAAAATAAATTTGCCAGAAATTTGTGAGAGCTGAGCAGGTGAAAAACATATGTGTAAGATTGCAGGGTGAGCTTCCACATCGGTCGCAAACATCTACCAAATTTGGGAAGATCCGTGTCAGCCTAGTTTTTGAATAATGACATCTGAATACCACTTTAAACTGTATCAAGGTCAGGCGGGCACATATTGAAGTTTTGTGAATGGCTGTCAGGGCAGCCTCCCACCAATGATCATCAAAGACCAGCCCTAGTTCACTCTCCCATGCTCTCTTAGTGTTCGTAGTTAGAAAAGCATCATATGATTGAATCGAGTTATAAATCTTTGAAATTAAAGACCTCTGCTGGGGGTTAAGTTGTATAAGTTCACCCCACGGCTGTTCAGGTGGTCGCCGAGGGAAGTTGGGGAATAAGGATTTTGCACAGGCTCTTGTCTGGAAGTATCTAAACAAATGGGAGGGTGGGAGATTGAATTTAGAAGCCAAATCAGTGAAAGAGCAAAACAACCCTTCCCTATAAAAATCCTTAAAACATTTTAGTCCCTTATCTTGCCATAAGGAGAAGGTTGGGTCAGAAAGAGCAGGTGTAAACATCGGGTTTTTTAAAAGTGGGGTTAAGACTATGGGGCCTGTAAATTTAAACAGTTTCCTAAACTGAAACCATATTCTCAGTGTATCTACAACTATGAGGTTGTTGGTTAGGCCAGAGGGATTTACAGAGGTTGGACCTGTAAGTAAAGCTAAGAGTGAGGCTGAAGGACATGAATGTGCCTCTAGCTGACACCAAGGTATATCAACTGAATTAGACCAGAAAGCAATTTTAGTTATGTTAGCTGCCCAGTAATAAAATTGAAAATTGGGTAGGCAGAGGCCACCATAAAACTTACAGTTCTGAAGTATTTTTAGTCTTACTCTGGGTGTTTTGCCATTCCACAAAAAATGACAGATAGCAGAATCTATTGATTTAAAAAAACTTCTTGGTAAAAATACAGGTAGACATATAAATAGAAACAGAAACTTTGGCAAGATATTCATCTTAACA